GGTACATGATCAACTGCCTAGCATTAATGTGGTGATATTTTGATAAAAATTGGCATCGTTTTGTCTGCAACTAGGTTTATATTTTGCTGCACCAATGGTACATGATCAACTGCCTAGCATTAATGTGGTGATATTTTGGTAAAAATTGACATCGTTTTGTCTCCAACTAGGTTTATATTTTGCTGCACCAATGGTACATGAGCAACTGCCTAGCATTAATGTGGTGATATTTTGGTAAAAATTGGCATCGTTTTGTCTGCAACTAGGTTTATATTTTGCTGCACCAATGGTACATGATCAACTGCCTAGCATGAATGCTTTGATATTCCAGCATTCCGGAACCCCCCGTGCCTTGGATGAAGGATACAACCATGCATCGCAAATCCAGCAGAAGAAGGAGGAGTTGTACAATCTCATCGCCAAGGCTGTGGCGGAGCCCACTACCACCTGGCTGGACAGGCGACTGCTCAAGGCTCTCTCCTTGCAAATCAAGCCTAGACCAAAGGACCCTCAGTGGTACAATATCAACCATATATACTCAGACATAGATATTTGTTATGTTTCTCTACCCTACCAGAATTCATATGTAATTCTTACCATCTCATCCAACCTACCTGTAGGCGCAAGATAATTTTGACCAAGGTGGCCACCCATTGTACATATGCTGTGGGTATTCTTGTTGCTTATGTCAGATGTCCTCGCACTGAAGACGGTGCTAAAATAGTAAGGTACGATGGACATCTTGTTACTGTTGAGAGTCTGCCCATGCTACAAGGATATCAGCCTGCTACTCCTGCTGAGGGAGTGCCCAAGCAAATGAGTTGAAGAAGAAATGCAGCTTGTTTTTGATGGAGAAGCAAGACGGATATCAGTTCTATATATTCCAGCACTATATTATTATGTATGTCTATGTCATGTACTACTGGATGATCTCTGGTATTTATGATGTTGCTGGCATGGTATGAAGATGAGTCTAGTAGTATTTCTGTTTGAGCAAATTTCTGCTTTAGCAACTGGATGATCTGTGTGATCGCTTTCTAAGAAAAGATATTTGTGATGTAGCTGGCTTGGTACTGGTCGTACAGATGAACCTTATGCATTGTTGGATGAACCCATTGTTGGTTTGAATCCTGCCATGAGAGATGATTGGCCATGTATCGCATTTCGAATGATACAATGTCTGGTCGTACAGGTGTTTGGACAAAAGAGCGTCGTACGCAGGTCAGTTTGCTTGTTGGATGATGCTTGATATCAGCAGTTATGACTGGCTCTGGTTGACTCATTTTTCGATCCGGAATATTCTTCAAATACATGAATATTATTTTGAATTCATGAACATTTTTTAAATTTTTTAAAAAATTCCAAATTTATGAAGATTTTCCAAATTCAGAAATATTTTTATTTATAATTTTAATAAAACTGACTGAAATAAATTAAAGATTTGACAAAATTGAAAAAATATGAAACTCCGGGTTTGCTTGCTTGCTAGGGCACCCCTGGAGTCGTTAGCTATGACCATGTTCAACTCTAGCAGAGTCGGCACATCATTGGTCGATGTATCCCGTATGGTATATAGAGCGTGCTCCATATGAAATATGGAGGCACGGTTGTTGTACGTAAACACAGAGTCGCCGTAATGCGGCCTCCATATTTTTTTTCTTTCATTGGATGACCCGTTGCGCCCTTAGCGTAAAGATCAATTAGAGAACAAGAAATGCAATCAAAAGGGATAAAATGAACTATTTGAAGGAGTTATTTTTCAGAATTATCTGCAAAATATGATTCTAATGACTATGGTCATCTTGTGTTATTTTACACTAATCCTTTGTTTAGGTAGTCCGTTAAGTAGCATCACATGACCGCATTCCGACCAAGATAACACCAAACCGGATGAACCGAGCATCTGAACAAGCCAAGAACCGTACCCTCACCAATGACCTCCTAACTGGCAACCAACAACACACGAAAAGTGGTCGGAACCCGGAACCGGAAAGCAACAATCCTCCATCGACCCGGAAACGGAGCTAGAGAGGTGTCCCATGTCCGGCATAATCCAACCTGGCACACCAACAACCGAATAAGTCACGGAGCCGACTACTCGGGGTCCCTGACGCGTGTGCCGAAGGCGCGCCTCCGGCCACCTCATCTGTCGTGCGCCTTGCATGTGCCGCCCCACAAGTTGGTGGTGGGGTTGCTTGCAAAAAAAAAGTTGGTGGTGAGGCTCGGTGTTTGTTCCACCGGGAAGAGACGTAGGGTCTGCACTCGAGGGTGCACACCTTGGTTGGCATGTGGGCTATCTGGCACTCGTGCCCTGAGCACATCCATGCGGCCGGACACCCCATAGGTGTTTGTCCTGGGCTTTACAAAATTATTTGCCTGCTCGAAACATGCAACCGCAGCCCTGGATGAGAAGGCACAACCGAACTGGCCATCACGAATATCAAGGCATTCGATGCTTCTTTGAGTTTTGGTATAAGGTTTGCATCCTAATGAGGAAGACGAGGTGGTGGCGGCTCCCTAGAGATGAAATAAGGTTCTTCCTGTTTAGCCATGTCTCAATGATGTTTCTAGTGTCATCTGAGGGAGCGTGGATATTTGTCTCCGACGAATCTCGTGGGATTCGTCGGCCTTTGTCTTGGGTGGATCCGCTTGGATCTGATCTTCGTTCGTGTATGTTCACGTGTCTATAGGTTGGATCCTTCCGATCTATATTTCTTTTCATCGACGGTGGTTCTTTTTCCTGATGCGCCGGTCCTGTGGGCCTTAGCACGTCGTCTTCCTAGCTATCTTCCACAATAAGGTTTGCCAGACTCCAGTGATGGAGGGGGATGACGGTGGCACGCCTTCGGCTTGCTCTAGTGATTATACCCGTTGCTATGTTCTACGGACATAGATGTAGTTTTTAATTTTAATGTTTGTTGTACTTTCTTGACAGTTGATGAATAGATCAGAAGCTTCTTTGGAAAAAAAGATTCAACGAGGGCAAGACAAGAAAAAAAAAGGAAAAAAAGAGAGAAGAAACTAGACCGAGGGAGGGTGAGTGGGTCTCAATCTCACGGATGGGCTATATACACGGGCGCCACGGAAGGCAAACGAGCGAGGAACCCTAACCCCTAACCAGTTCCGATCAGCAAGGTAGGTTAGCTTCCAACCCCTAACCCTATTCAGTAGTTCCTAGCCGCAAGTTACGTTCCAACCCGGCGTGATTTCTCCGGTCTTGGGTGATTTTTTTTTGACGCGTCAACGGCGGGCTTACGCCTGCTTGAACCTTTATTGCGATCGTCAAGAGGTGTTACAAAGTGCTCAGCATTAGAAGTACATGGGGTCAGAGGGAGAGAAAAACAGAGAAAAGATACATAGTGCTGGAGGCTACAATCTCGCAGCTAAGAGGAACAACATGGATGCCCAGTCTCGAAGCGCAGTTTGTTTCATGGCGTTCTTGCAGCGGTGAGACCAAAGGCGTAGGTCATTGGCCGCTGAGTTTGCAGTTGTGTGTAGATCCAGGTGAAGGTCGCGGAAAACTTTGGCATTTCTCCTCTGCCAAATATTCCAGAGAACGGCCAAAAGGACCGTTGATCTGGTCTTGTTGTTGAAGTTCCCGCCCCAGGCGTGTAGGAGCCCCTGTGGTGCAACTGGGCAAAGGCTACCCAGCTCTGCCCATAGCGGGCTGAGCCATCGGCATTTGAACAGGAGGTGTTCAATGGTTTCGCATTGCGAGCAGAAGGGGCCGGCATTGGAAGTAGTAATGCCCCGCCGGAAGCGTCTGTCTTGGGTGATTGATTCGTGCTCGTTTGCAGGGCTCCGACGATGACGGCTTCCCTCCGCGCGGCGTCGACGAGGATCATGCGTTCGGCGGTGCTTCGCCGGCTCGTCCACATGCAGCCGTAGGTATCTTGGTTCTTGGCCTCCATCCCATCTCCGGCTAGATCTGTAGCCCGACGTCTGACTGTTAGGCCTCCCTTCTTCTCTCCATACTGTTTTCCATTACTGTATATATCATAATCATAGGATGAACGGCTATCCTTTAGGCATTGTTCGGCTAATCCCCACCACGAGGGGATTGGAGAGGATTGGAGGGGTTTGATGTAGATTTTGACTTGCTGGGGATTTAATCCCTGCCAATCTGCTCCAAACCTCTTGAAACCCTGTGGAACCGAACAAGGCCTTAAACATGCACGTTTTTTATTGATGATCTCTGCCTACCTTGAAGAATGCTTTGCCTTGATATATTTTTTTAAAAGCTGCGTCTTTTGGTCTCCAGCTAGTTCTATAGTTTGCTCTATATCATTGGAAGATGGTTAACTCCCTAGCATGAAGAAATATTTTGGTAAATCGATGTCTTTTCGTCTCCTGCTAGTTTACACAGTAGTTTTCTGTGCCATTGTTAGATGGTCAATTGCCTAGCATGAAGAAATATTTTGGTAATGTAAAGCTGCCTTTTGGTCTCCCTGATAGTTTTGTAGTTTGACGTGCCATTGGGTACATGACCAACTGCCTAGCATGAGGAATGCTGTGATATTTTAGTAAAAAGTCTATTGGTCTCCAGCTAGTTTTACAGTTTGCTGTACAAGATATCAGGTGATATACGCTGTGGGTAGGCATCTCTTGTCAAGACTGTTTATTGTTTAGTTATCAGTTCTCAATGCTGCTTCTATGTTTCCAGCATTCTGGATTCCGTGCATCGAAATTCAAGCAGCATAAGGAGGAGCTGTACGATCTCATCGCCGAGGCGAATGCAAATTCTGCCGCCACCTGGCAGGACAGGCTTATGCTCCATCATCTGTGCTCGCAAATCGAGCCTAGACCAAATGACCCTCAATGGCATTCCTCTGCTACAGGAGTTCATATGTACGTAGTTCTTAGTTCTTACCATCTCATCTCATGTCATCTCATCCCATCTACCTGCAGGCGCAAGGTATTTGGACTCAAGAAGTGGATCGCTTACACTTCGTTCACGGTTGGTGTTGTTACTTCTTTGATCGCTGTTTTTGGCCTGGCTCCCAATCCTAAAATAGTAGAGTATGAAGGACATCTTGTTACTGCTGAGAGTGTGCCCATGCTACAAGAGAGATTGCGCAAGCAAGATGGATATCAGCGTGCTGCTACTGCTGGGGAGTGCACATGCAAACAAGGTGCCTCAAAAACTTTACGGAGTATCATATAGTATATATTTCTTTTGCGGAAATGCTACTGCACAGTACATGATGTTTTCCGAGCTAACCCGCTCTGCGCCGTCGGATCCCTCGCATGAATCTTGGCGCTGGGCAGCGTCGCTGCATCATGTTCGCCAACCGTTCACCCTAACCGGCAACCGCGTGAACGCCTACCATTAACCCCCTCTTTGTTGCCCCACTCGCCCACTAACCACACTCGCGCACATGTTCTCTTCCCAGCGTGCTCTCTGCAAGAGTCTACTCTCAGAGTATATCAATTTGTCATCTGAAATAATATTCACAGACCTTTGAACGTTGTGATATCTGTAATATTCTCAAGGACATATAATCGTTGCCAACCCTTTTAAACTATTTGCAATTATAAGATCTAAATCTTATGCCTCTGTTTCAAAAAAAGGATGCAAATCACCAGATCAGTCCAAAAATATTATGCCTGGACAACCACCTATTTATGGAACGTATTTGAAATATTGTTCTTTTTTAGGAAGTAGCTAGTGATTTCAGGTCCAAGACCATCACTGGTTAATGCCAATGAGGCTAGGACAACACTAAATTCCTCCTATAACTTACACCTACATGACAAAAAGAAAACAGTTTCTTGTGATTCTGGAAACACTGTAATGTTCTTTAGAACTACATACGAGCCACCTT